AGTATATATATAAAAGCCTAAGCGACCATCCAACCATTCAACCATCCAACCAGTAGCTATGATGTGCACTGACCTCCAGGGGGCAGATGCTCAATGCAGGAGCTGCCGAGCAGCAGCAACTTTGCAGATTACCCTCTCACACTCCGGGACCCTTCGGGGGATATCCAACTTCCAGTTTCGGCCCAATCGCTGCAGGCCAGGCTGAGGGACCCCACCTGCCGGAGGGACCCCACTCACTCTGCTGATGCCCTTTGAGCCCTGGCACTGCCTTAGGTGCAGCTGGCCGGGAGGGACCGTGGGAGGTTGGCTTCAGGGCTTGTCTGGCCTGTTTTGCCCAGTCCCCCACCGCCGGTCACCTTCTAATTAATTTCCTTTCAATGTGCATGAATTGTGCACTGGGCCTCTAGTTTTAATATAAATCAGGGAGGAGCACTAATCCCTGCTTTATAGTAAAATGTGAGTACAGTGAACCAAATTTCTTAATTGGCAATTAGAACAGGTATCTGTTCAAATGACTTGTCTGGCCCTTTTTGCCCAGTCCCCCACCGCCGGTCACCTTCTAATTAATTTCCTTTCAATGTGCATGAATCGTGCACTGGGCCTCTAGTTTTAATATAAATCAGGGAGGAGCACTAATCCCTGCTTTATAGTAAAATGTGAGTACAGTGAACCAAATTTCTTAATTGGCAATTAGAACAGGTATCTGTTCAAATGCATGTTTAGAAATAAGCTTTAAAAAGATTTAACAGCATTATTTCAAAGTGAGCAGAAATAAAATTTAAGTTAAAATCTGTGGATTTTTTACGCTGTGAAGCAGAAAATATTGTGAATATTACATTACAGTGTTATCATTAACATAGATATTGGCCTACAAAGTCATGGTAATTTTTTACTTTAGTATATATAGAGGAATTCAATATCATTTATTTTAAAAAGCATTTGGCCACAATTATAGAGTGTTGAGAAAAGCTGGTATGATTCTCAGCTAAAAATAGTAATGTTCACATTGAAATCCAAGTAACTATCATTGAACGGTCATGGATCATGCTTTTAATGTCCTTGAGAGGAATAGTATTTTTATGTCCATGTTTTTAAACAAATTTATCCTCCTCCTTCTTCTCTCTACTCTCTTTTCTTGTCTTCATTCTTCTGCTTTTCTTCTCCTTTCTAATCCTCTTCTTTTTTCAAGTGTTGAAAACTTTGAGTTTTCTCTTTCTCTCTGCCACAGCTAGTAACCCTGCCTCCGGGTATCTAACAGTTCTGCAGCAGTGCCTCTCTTCCTTCTGCCACCTCTCCTGCAACACTTCCCTCCTCAGTAACCTTCAAATCTACTCTTGCTTCTCTGACCTGCAGTCCCTTGGGAACTCCGGTTGTATTAGGTAAAGTTAACAGGGAGGAAAGCAGAATATTGGCACTCTGTGGAATATGGGAAGTTGAGTAGTTATCTCTATACCTTAACTTCCACTCTTTTCCAATAATCTTTGCTCTTAATTAATTTTCTTAGAAAAATGTTTCTGAGTCTTTAATTTCCTTTTATTTATTTATATTTTAATCAAATGTAAAGACATGGCTGTTTTGTATTATCTTGAGGGAAGGGTAGATGCTAAAGACTACCCAAAGCCACGTTGAATATCTATCAAATTCATTTAATTTCTCACATCCTCTACAATTGTATTATAGCCCATTGATTTTTATTCTTTGTGTTTTAATACTCCACAGGACTGATATTAAGTACTCTGAGCAATAGGCCCACCTGTTAGAAAGATATAATTAGTTGAAAATGAAACTTACTACTGGGATCAGAAGATGTAACACTTTTCTACAATTTTCTACATTTTGCTTGGTCCTAAAATCTTTTTTTAAAATTGATATTAAAGAGAGAGAAGACAGAGTGAAGAGAGAGGGAGAGATTGACCTGTTGCTCCACCCATTCATGCATTCATTGATTACTCCTTGTATGTGCCCCTACCAGGCATCTAACCCACAAACTTGGTGCATCTGGATCACACTCTAAACAACTGAGCATCCGGCCAGGGCCTAAAGTCTTTATTCTACTAGACAGGCTCTAGGAAAAGGTATTTAAGAGAATAGTTATTGATCAATTGAGATTAAGATCTTATAAAAAGAACATGATGACAGAACAAGAAACACAAAAGAATAAGAGAATACCATTGAATTTCAACTTTTAATATCCCATTCTAAATTTGAATATAAGTTATTTATACAGTAGAACTTAGTATTTGTATATGAATCAGTTAATACAGGAAATGAAAAAAAATGAAGAAGCAGTTGTCTTAAAAATGAAGACAGACAAAGATTGCTTTACATTGGTCCCCTGATTCAAAAAAGAAGAAATGGCTTGAAGAAAGGATTCATATGGAACAACAGTTTCCTAGGGAAGCCTTTAACAGTGGTTGCTAGGGCAAGAAAGGAATCTAAGGGTAGACTAGAAAAATAACAGCATCCTTCAGCACTCTAGGTGCTTGGATTATAGTCTACTTGAGTTTATTATATATTAAATTTAACAATTATTTCTATTTTTTTTCTCAGACTAAATCCTTAAAAAAACAAACTTTGCTTCTGAGGCAATACAATGCATGCCATTCATCATAGAGGTAGTTGAAGGGGTTATCTTCGTTACCCTTGAGAAGGAAAATGTGTTTATTAATGTAATTACTGTGTATGATTGCTGTATGGTCATATTAATCACCCTAGTAATGGGTGCTAGGTAGGGAACTTCACTTTGAATCATTAAGGGAATAACCCTTGTCAACCTCAGGGGTTCCTTAATATATTCTTCCTTCTGCACTATTAATATTTCACTGTGTAATTGCAGCTCCCAACCCCTGTGCAGCCAATGCTGGCCGAGGCCCCTGCTCTCACATGTGTCTGATCAACCACAGCAGGAGTGCTGCCTGCGCCTGCCCCCACCTGATGAAGCTTTCCGCAGACAAGAAGACCTGCTATGGTGAGTTTCCTAAAGTTCTGATCTAAAACTCAAATGGAATTCTCTCAAAGTGCATTAGCATGTACATTTCCCTCAAGGTAAAGCAGAAGAGGTTTTTAATGTCCTTGGAAACATGCGGGGTGGTCTATTTCTAGACCGTTGATGATTCATCTACTTTTGGGGAGAGGGACACATTCTTAAAATACGTGATGCTCCGCACTTTGCTGTTTAGTTCCTTATTCGTTTTTTCTTGCAACTTTCGCATTTGGTGTGTTAGCAGAATTTATCTCTACAAAGCAGGGAGCCTTGTACGTGAAAGTGCGTTATCAGAAAATGATGATGTCAGGAACCTGCATAACAAGAGGCACATGGCAGCGCTGATCTCCGCCTGCTCCTCTGCAGTCACTTTTGCGTCATTTTGTGGGGATTATTAACTGGAAGGGGGGAAATGAAGTAAAATATATAACTTTAAAAGGTTTCTAAAAATATTTAAACAAACCCATAAAAAGGTAATAAAATGTGTGAATGAAAATTATACTGTGGTGTTTTTTTCTGGTTTGTTTTACTTTAATTTTGGTTAATTTATCCATTTATTTGCAAAGCAATTACTTTTAAGGATGGCAAGAATGTCCTCACAAAACCTTAATTCAGGAATTTAGGCAAATGTGGATTTAATTTATTTTATACAGTTACTAGAGGCCCGATGCACGAAATTTGTGCAAGAGTAGGCCTTCCTTCCCCTGGCTGCCGGCACCAGCTTCCCTCTGGCACCCAGACCCGGGCTTCCCTTGCAGCCCTGGCTTCATCTGGAAGGACATCTGGTCTAATTAGCATATTATGCTTTTATTATTATAGATAACATGTCTCAAATAACAACAATAACCCCACAGCCAACAACAAAAGAATAAAATATCTGTGACTCCTCTTTCTACTTAATCGACTAATATTTCACAGATTCAATGCCCGATTGGTGCCTATGGAAGTAAAAATGATACAATGCCTCACAATATTAGTACTGCAGATTTACAGAAACTTGTAACAAAGCATGTGTTAACATTATTTGAACCCTAATTTTGAGAGGGAAAATTTAAACATGATTTTTAAAAGTCATGTTTAATTTCTTTCATTCAATAATAATATAGCAAAAATGTTCTTAGATTCCTTCAAAAACCATTTAATGCAATGCAATATTTGTATAATCTACACTAATAAAAGAGAAACATGGTAATTGGCGTACAACCACTACCCTTCCCATTGGCTAATCAGCATATCCTTATGCAAATTAACTGTCAGCCAAGATGGC